ACATGATCAGATCCCCAGTACTACCCTCCATCTATCTGTTTTCCCTCCATTCTTGGGCAAACACTTGCTTTCCTCTCATCCTGCATGGCCACTCCCGCACATCCAGTACCCACAACTGTCTCACCTGCTTTAGAGAAACCTTTCATCAGGCCCTTCAGCTGCTTCCTTGCAGGTCAGGACTGTGTCCCACTGGGGAGTTAACACTTCTCCTGCTTCCCCCAGATACAGACCCCTCCACTACAACCCTCTGCCTGTGTCATGTGCCCCAGAACACACCAGCTGCTTCAAACACTGCCCCACAGCAGTTCCACTCCCTGAGGATCTTGGGGCTGCTCTGCTGCCCCACCCAAAGCCAGGCTGGGCTGGACTGGAGAAGATTAAACAAGAGCCCCTTGACCTGGCAGCACCAGCTGCACTGGCGGGAGGCAGGGACAGACCTGTGTTTGCTCTCCACCTGGCTGGTGGCTGTGGCATTCAAGTGTGTACTGAGCAATACTCTTCAAAGTTTGCAAATATGCTGTTCCCCGGGAAAATTCCATCCAAGTCACTCAGCACTCACAGAAGAGACCATTCCAAGGATTCTTGCTGGCACGGGAATTCTTTTCTTTGCAATCCAGAACCACAGGCACCTCCACCTCAGCTGGTGTTTTCTGCAAGCACAAAGGAAACCAACCTGATCTCTTCCAGCAGAAAAGGGAGGTAGCACCCACTCAGCCCGCCCAGCACAGAGGGCACTACAAATCCCTCTGTGTGACCAGCCAGTGCAGAGCTCAGCGCTCCAGAGGGCATTTCCACAGGGGCAATGGGTGAGTACAGGAATGGGAGTGGGCGCTCCTTGCCAGCAACGGGGAGAGCAAAGGTGGGCAGCTCAGCAAGAGGGAGAGGCTCCATGCTCTGGTTCCTGCACGCTGATGGGGAGCAGTGGCACCGGTGCCCTTCAGGGGCACTTGCCACCTCTGAGCACCAGCTGCTCTTGCCCTGTCTTCTGGCTCAGCCCAGCCAGGCCCCTGCCCCAGGGCCAGGAGTGAAACTTGGCGCAGGCAGTCGTTGGCTGCTTTGCCCTGCCCAAAACTACCCCGTGTTTGACTTGTCCACAGCAGATCCAGGGGGAATGGGCAGGTTGTCGACCCCTTTGGCAAGCTTTGCAGCTTGCAGGGAGCAGCCTGATGCTGCCCAGCACGCTCGGTGCCCTCCTGCACCTCACAGGCTCCTGTTAACTGCGGTGCTGGTGCCACGGGAGGGATGGTCACATTTCTTCTTTTCTTCTTGTCCCTTTCTACCAGCTCAGTGTCTTCTGCTCCTTGCTTCCCTGCTCATCTTGGCTTCACCGGGCCATTCTGTGCACACACAAAGCCTAAACATCTTTAAGAAATCTCCCTCCAACACTTCATCGAGTGCTCTGAAGAGAACCAGTAGGTAACATCTTGTGGGCATCTGGTATTGTGTGCACGTGTTCAGCCAGCTCTGGGTGGGGCAGGACTGTGCACTGTCCCTCACCCTGGCCCTGCTCCAGGATGGAGAATGGTGAAGGTGTGCCCAGCACAGGCTGCAGGGCTCTCTGTGTGTGTGTGTGCGTGTGTGTGCACTGTGCAGGTTGGGAAGCGTGGCTTTGTGCCTGAAGGGATAATTTTTCCCCATTCCCTGAGTCACAGCCAGAGGCTAGGTCCTCTTCACCTTCCTCCCAACATGACCCTGCTGTAGTGGCACAGCCCCTTTTTCAGGAGACCTAAGGGAGCCCACTGGTGCTTCCCACTGGTGAATGGGAGCCCATTCAGTCTCTTAGACTGATATCAGCATAGCTCAGTCAGTCTAGGGCCTTTCAATGGGGCTGACTCCTGTTGGTCTTCCCTATGGAAAAAGAACAGAGGGTTGAGGTCAATCCACTCTCACCTCCAGACCTCTCTGGGCTGGGAGAGCTGGTTATCCCCCATGTGCCCTGGCCAGATGAATCTCCCTCCTGCCCTGATGCCCAGGCTTTTGTTCTCTCCCCCTCTGTCCTGCCCCAGCTTGGCCCAGGGACTGCAGTGAGGCTCCAGCTGGCAGCCCTAGTGGTGTCTACATCATCCAGCCCACGGGACTGCACCCCATCATGGTGTACTGCGAGATGAGCGGGGCAGACGGGGGCTGGACCGTCATCCAGAGGAACCGGCAGGACACGGATATCACCTGGGCTGAGTCCTGGAGTACCTACAAGCACGGCTTTGGGAACGTGCACACCGAGTTCTGGCTGGGCACCGAGTACATCCACCAGATCACCAGGCAGAAGCTCTGCCAGGTCAGGTTTGTCATCTGGGATGCTGCAAACAACATGAGGTTCGCAGACTACAACCTGTTCAGCCTGGATGATGAGGCCCAGGGCTACCGGCTCAGGCTGGGAGCGCACTCGGGGACAGCAGAGGATGCCATGGATTCAGACAATCCCAGGAAAGTGCACAACAACATGAAGTTCTCCACAAAGGATCGGGATCAGGATACTTACAGAGGGAACTGTGCCTCACGCTATGGGGGTGGGTGGTGGTACTCAGCATGTTACTCTGTGCAGCTGAACGTCAAGGGGGGCCTGACGTGGGGCGGCCTGTGCAAGGGGAACTGCAGAGCCTCGGCCATCCTCATCAAACCAACTCCATACCCCTAGAACTCCTTCCCCCTTCTGTCCACATGCAGCACAAGGCCAGGCCAGTGCCCTGCTGGGGCCTGTTTGATGATGAGGCCTTGGGGGTGAATAGAGCTGTTCCTCTATATCAAGAACCTCTTTTTTTTTCCTCCTGTCCTGAAAAGTAGCAAAGCTCCTGGCTCTATCTCTGGCCATTCACCTGTGGTGGGTTTTGGGGAGATATTGTTAGAGCTCATCTTTATAAATACTGCAGTATCCAAGCATGTTCCTTCTGGAGAGAACTCTCTGCTCAGAAACCTAATACCCTCCTGATTAGCATGGTCTTATGCTCTTTTTGCTTTGTGGGTACAGATGTTTTCAGCAGAAAAGTATCCACCATCACCAGCTAACCTGACCTAAGCTATACTGAGCCCAGGGCAGGCCATGTCCATAACACATGCCTGCTGCAGTCTGTGTTCATCCTGCAGAATAAAATCACTTTCAGACCTGCACAGTGTCCTTCATTTATTTGGGAACTCCTTGCAACTGCTGCCTGTTTCCTGCCTAAAACACACCTGAGGCTTCTGGTGCAGTAAGAAAAAAAATTCAAAGGAAAATTTTTTCATACAACTCAAGTGAGGAATCGGAGACAAAACTTTCACTTAAAGAAGAGGGTTGCATTCCAAGGGGGATCTTCCAAAAAGGGAATGTAGCATCACACAGCCAAGAGCAAGCAGAGGGTGTGAGGGAAGCATCAGGTCAGTTGCACCTGGAAAACCAGGCCAATGTCATCCTGCCTCATTAACCCTGTGAACGCTGGGAGGGAACTGGGAGAGTGGAAAGGAGCAACAGTACTGCAAGGCCACACAGCACCATGTGGCTGGTCTGTCTGGGCCAGTGTGAGAGCTGAGACAGCCTGTCAGGGCAGGGATCCCAGAATTTCAAGATTCTGGATCAGCTTGGGTCTGTGTGAAAGTGCTCTGGTGTGGTGATAACCTTGTGCACTGGACAGCTGAGCAGTGGACACAGTACCTGTGGTGTGGTCAGAGGGAGGATGTTTGACTGTTGCACTGTTGCCTAGCAGTGCTGAACACAGCAGATGTCTCACTGGCTGCATTCACAGATTCACAGAATATTCTGAGTTGGAAGGGACCCACAAGGATCATCGAGTGCAACTATTCTCTTTCCAACAGAGACCCAGGAATGCAGCTCGGCATCACTCAGCGCGGCCTGCTGGGTGGAATGCTGTTTACCAGGAGCCCCAAGCCTTTGTCCAGCTGTTTCCTCCCCTGCTGTTAGGTTGTGCATCCAGGCTGGAGCACCAATGTCTTTTTAAGCCAGCAGACATATCTCTCACTCCAGAAGTGCTACTCTCAGGTGAGCTCCAGCTGGGAGCCTTCCTCAGCCAGCAGCACCCTCGAATCTCCATCTTCCCATGAAGCAGGGCTGCCCACCTGCAGGTGCCTCCGAGGCTGCTAAAGAATGCTCCTTGGGAACTCGACAGCTCCTCAGGAGCAATGCACTGCCATAGCTCTGCAGGGTGCCCTGGGACCTTGGTCACAGACTTTGGCTCCAGAGTCCCATGTTGTCCAGCATTCCCAGCCACAAACATTCCTTGAGCTCAGCTTTCCTTCCACTGAGGGAGGAGAGGAGCTGTGGGTTCTTTCAGCCCCAAGTTCAAACTTCCCTGCATCACAAGGAACTTCATAGACACATTCCCTGTCTGCTGCAGGGAGTGATGGGACTGACTGACCCACATCACTCACACCCTCAGGGAGTCCACTGCCCTCTCCACACTCCAGTGGAGTGTGGTGGTTTCTTCTCTTTCCCAGCAGAGCAACCACCCACCCATGAACAGGGGCAAACTGTGAGCAAGGGTTGAGCATGATCAGGGCTTTGCTGGCCCTGTTGGCTAATTGTAGCCTTACAGCCACATTCCAGTGTGCAGTGGCTGGAACAAGCCATTGAAAGGAATATTGCCTAAGACACTTACTTTCCCCAAGTCTGCCACCCTGCAGAGTGGACAGAGCAATCCCCCCACACCTGTGTGCAGGTAGACATGAGGCAGCACAGTCTGGCTCCAGGGTTTATTGCAGCTGATTCCTCCCACCATGGATAGCAGAGCTGTGGGGTGTGCGGGGCTCAGGGAGGGAGCAGGGCCTGGGCAAAGCAGGGTTCACCGACTGCAGGGGAAGGGAGCTGGCACCATGTCCCCTCCCAGGATGGGAGCAGGTGCACCCACCCCAAACCAGTGCCTGTGTCCCAGTGCCAGCCAGCATCATGGCACTGGACAAAGCTGCCTGTGTGCCCAGCACTCCGGGCGATGGCTCCTGAGCCCCAGAGCTGCTGTGTTTTGGCTGGTGAGGGAACAGGAACTGTGGGCAGAGCAGGATGTGCACTGGGACTGGCATGGGAATGGGGCACTGAGCTGGGGATGGTGGCACCCCCACACTCCCGGGGGGCTGGGCGTGGTCAACACACATCTGTGGGTTTGACCAGGATGAGGGAAGATGCACAGTCACCTTTATCACAGAATCCCGGCCAAACAATGTAGTTTTTGGCATTGAGCAGGACGTTCTGGCACCTGTTGTACCACCACCCCCCGTAGCTCTTGGCGCAGTTCCCGCTGTACTGATCCTGGTCCTTGTCGACTGTGCTGAACTTCATGTTGTCATGAATGCCCCCCTTCTTGGGGTGGTAGAGGGTCAGGTAGTCATCCCCATCTCCAGAATGCCGGCCCAGCCTCAGCGGGTAGCCGCTGGCCTCGCTCTCCACTCTGAAGATGTCGTACTCGGCGTAGTGGGTGACGTTGGCTTTGTCCCGCACCACGAAGCGCACCTTGTAGGTGCCCTGCTGCGTCAGCAGGTGCAGGTACTCGGTGCCCAGCCAGTAATCGCTGTGCACGTTCCCAAAGCCGTACTTGTAGGTGGTCCAGGATTGCTTCCATGTGAGCTCGGTGTCGTGCGAGTTCCTCTGGACCACGGTCCAGCCCTTGCCCTCGGTGTCCATGTCGCACCAGACCACGCGCGGCGGGGAGCGGGCCGGCTGGATCACGTACACGCCGCTGGCGCTGCCCTTGCGCAGGTGGCTGCAGTCCGGGGGGAAGCCTGAGGCTGAGCAGCAAACATGGGGTGGGGGAGAGAGAAGGTCCGTTATCAGGACAACAAGGAGCTTCTGAAGATCAGCGAGGACACAAGATAAAAAGGAGTGGTTCTGTCTGCGGCTTTTCCACTGGCTCATCCTCAGGGAATCTGAAGGTGTCTGGGCCAGTGGCCTCTGTAAGAGCTCTGGAACCTATTTATTATGATTTGCTGTTTCATTTGGAGTCTCTTGCCAAGGAAAGAAGGGAGAAAAAATCTCCAGGATTGCCAATTATGTCCTCAAAGTATGTCTGGCCCATATACCCTTGATATACTGAGCTGTAGCTCTTGCAGGGACCAGAAGTATCCAAAATGCTCCACTGGATGAGGATATGTAATAAAATTTGTTTTCCCTGGGACTTGTTGCATTGGATAAGAAGGTTTAGTTCTGCCTTGGTCTTATAGGGGTCTCTTCCCTCATCTTGTTATCTTGTTATGTCTAGCCAAACTTATTTAGCCAATTGCTAGCCAAACTAATTTGACATCTAATTTGTTTTTCTTGGTTTGTGTCTGGTGGGAGACAATTTGCTGTGGGTAATTCCAATTCAACCCATGAAACTCTGTGGTCTTTCAGGTACTGTAATCCTCCCTTTAAAGGGAGGAAGGGGATGTTTCTAATCCAACAAGAGCTAAACAAAAAGTCACATAGCTAGGATGGTCTCTCCTGGAACTGAGCCTCACAAATATGGCACAGCAATCCTTCCAGGCTGTGGTGTTTTGGCACAGCAATCCTTCCAGGCTGTGGTGTTTTGGCAAAAACCTGTTGGTTTCAGCATGGACCCACCAAGGGGGTGAAGGTGACGTGGCAGGAGCCAGGCTGTGAAAGCCGTGGCCCAGGGGTTGTGCGTGTGAGGAATTCCTGTGCTGTGCATCCCTTGGGTGTTTGCTCACCTTCCCTGGCACAGAGCAGCCCTGAGTGTCCTGCTGTGCCCTCGGTGCCCCTCGGTGTCCCCCCGTACCCGGTACTCACCGCTCCGGGGGCTGGCAGTGGGCCTGGCTGGGCCGGCGCTGGCGCAGAGGAGAAGCATTGCCACCACGGTGGGCAGGAGGACAAGGTCCCGGTGGAGCCAGGGTGTCCCAGCCTGGAGCCCTGGGAGGAAGGTGCCCATCACCATGGCTCCTGCTGCTCTGCTCCCGAGCAGACAGGAGGAAATTTTCTGGCCCACACTGGGATAGAAACCCAAAGCCTGAGTGCTGACCAACAGCACCCCCTGCACCCTGCACTCACTCAGCTCCTGGGGAGATGCCACCGTGCCTGGGGCAGGATCCCTGAGCAGCCACACATGCCACATGCATTGGTCAAGCAGGGGAAGGACCAAGGTGAAGCTCAGATCTCCAGATTAACCTCCCTCGACAGGATGTTGGAACACATGGCACAGGTAGCCTGGGGCAGGCACAGGCTGGCACCAAGAGTGTGTTGTTTGGTGCTTTGCTCTGGCAGCCCTCCTGCTCCCAGGGAAACTCACAGCTGCTGTCCTGCTCATCATTCTCTGTGCCTGTGCATACTCACCCCGTGAGGTCTCATTTGAGCCCAGCACCACACTGCAGTGAGGTGTACCTGAGCAGGAAACTCACCCATCACGACACACCCAGCACAGCCGCCCAGAGCAGGAACCCAGTGGAGCACCCTCCCATGCAGAGCTGCCCACGCTGGCTTTATAGGCACTGCACACACCCATGTGTGTTCACACTCATCATTTCTAGAGGCACAAGGAGGCACTTGCAGATTGCAGCTCGAGCAGTTTCCAGATCCCATGACGGCACAGCTGAGGGGAGGGACACATGTGCTTCCAGCCAGAGAGTACAGAAAAACCCCCTCCATGCTGAGGAGTTTCAGTTATTGACTGTCCCTACATAAACACTACATGTGAATTGCACAATTGGAGCAAATCCAGAGAACTGTGATCAAAGTGAAGTGGAGAGACCCCGCTTTTTAAGGATATAGGGAAACTATCAAAGGAGGAGAGGTCTGTGTGACCAGTCCCAAGCACAACCTTGGAAAGTTGAGGACAGGTCCTCAAGAGAGGTGCCCCCTCACTAACTCTCGGCAAGTTTTAGGATCAGTCATGGGGCTGGAGCCAGTCCTGCAGCCAGAGCTGCAGTGTCCTCTGGCACCCCAGTCTGCACACTTTGAGCCAGGGCTCCAGTTAGCAAACAGGGCTCTGTGGGTCCCTGTGCCACTCTCCTTCCCAATCCCTGTCTTTGGCCTGGTGAGTCCCTACAGATCCACTTTCAGTCCCAGAAATGTTGACCAGGACTTTCTCTGTCTTCTGGATCAAAATGCTGTCTGGACAAATGCTTTGGGAGGGCTGTTCTTCCTGCCAGAGAGTCCAGGAAGCTCCATAACCTTTTCAAGTCAAATTTAAGAAGATAAAGATGTGGCCTCTATCTTCTTCTTCTGATCAGATTTTTTTTTTTTTTTCATGGCACAGCTTCACACCTGCTCTTCACAGCAATCCAGGGTCAAGCTGAGGTTCCCACCAAACTTTCCACGCTATGGGAATCAAGCAGTGCCACTAGCAGGCCTTGATGGACTGTGGCATCCAACCTCTCCAAGATAATGGATCCCTGGTAAGGGATTCCTGGATTGACAGAACAAGAGAAAATAGCCTCAAGTTGCACCAGGCGAGTTTTAGATTAGATATTAGGAAAAGGTTGTCAATCACTGGAACAGGCTGCCCAGGCCAGTGGTAGAGTCACCATCCATAGAAACATTCAAAAAACATGTGGATGTGACACTTGAGGACGTGGTTGTTGGTGAACACAGTGATGCTGGGCTGACAACTGGACTAACTGATCATAGAGGTCTTTTCCAACCAACTCAATGAATCCATGATTCTATGGTCAGGTTCCATCTGAGCCCTTCAATGTCACCTCTGCTAGCTTGGTTGGGAGCCAAGGGTGAGCTGAGGAGGAGTTGAGCTGAGCTGAGCTGAGCTGAGCTGAGCTGAGCTGAGCAGGAGATGTCTGTCCTGCCAGGTCCAAGCACAGTGGAAAGGGCTGAGTGTGGGCTCCATGTGAGGCAAACAGCTGGATCCAGGATCCTTGATGAAAGGACACAGGGCAGAGGGCAGGGCTGGAAATATGCTACAGCAGAGATATGAGCAATCCATCCAGAAAATAAACCATCCACAGAGCAAGTCTGAGATCCATCCAGAAGAAGTGGACAGAGAGAGGACTGGAGTCCCCCTTTGTGCTTCCAGTGTGGCTCAGATGAGGACTGGAGCTCTAGGGCTGAGTTTAAACTGACCCCAGGGGCCCAGGGGAAGGTCCTGGCTGGGACAGGCCACCAGCCTCAAAGGCCACAACAGCTGTTAACCCTGAAAGGGCAGATCCCCCCAGCTGGGCTGGCTGTGTGAGGCTCAGTGCCAAGATGTGAGGGCTGGGGACGGGGTCTGCAGAGAGCTGGAGACACAGGGTATCCAAGATCAGGAGGATCTCTGGGTGCCTCTGGTTTGGGCTCAGTGCCAAAACAGTGAAACTTGAATGGGTGTTTAGGGTCACATCTGGGGCAGGTGTGAATGTCAGGGAATAGGGGTCCCATAACTTCTCTTACCTTTTTGTTTGGTTTTTTTACTTCTTTTTTTTTTTTTTTTTTTAACCCCTCCTTCCCCCTTTTGTTTTTTTTTTTTTTCTTTGAACGCACTCCTTCCATCTGTGACTGTTGCATTTGACTTTTGCTTTTCAATGCTGCTCTTAAGAGGGAAGGATTCTTCATATTCATATACTTCTGCCTCTATATTCTGCCTCAAATGGTACTTTGACACATGTAACTCTTAATTTAAGTTTATTTGGTTTTGGTTTTTTTGTTTCTGTTTTTTTTTTTTTTTTCTCTTACCTTTTTGTTTGGTTTTTTTATTTTTTTTTTTTTTTTTTTTTTTTTTTTTTTTTTTTTTTTTTTTTTTTTTTTTTTTTTTTTTGTCTTTGAACGCACTCAGGCTAATTTTTTTTTAATCTAATTTCCCTTCCTTCTCCTTGTGTCTGTTTGTTCTCATGATTCCCTGTGCACTTCTAAGGAGGGCCATAGAATCACAAGGTGGTGGAACAATTTAGGTTGGGAGGCACTTCTGGAAGCCATGTGGTCCAAATCATGCTGAAGCAAGTCCTTGTCCAACCAAGTCTTGAACACCTCTAAGAAGAGAAATCCCACAGCCTCTCTCTGGGCACCTGTCCCAGTATTTGATCAAGCTCATGTTGAAGCAAAGATCTGCTTCTAACTTGAATTTCCATGTTCCAACTCAGATCCATTGCTTCTCATCCCACCATCATGGACCTTCAAAAATGTGGCTCCATGTTCTTTGTGTGCTCCCATAAGATGGTTGCTGTCAGCAATGGGACCCCTTCTGTGCCTGCTCTTCTCCAGGAGGAGCAAGCCCAGTCGTCTCCAATTCTCCTGAGCTCCAGGGCTCCAACCAGCCTGGTGGCCTCCAGTGGCCTCCAGACCTGCTCCAGTCTGTTTCTTGCAGGACACAGTGCTCTGAGGAGCCTGACTGCCCCTGCTCCCCACCCTTCCACGAGGTAGCACAAGATCCCATCTCAGCCCTCTCTTCTGCAGGCTGGACAAGCCCAGCAGATCTTTCTCAGCACCTCCACATGTGCTGTGCACTCCTGCCCCCACTGTCCTGGTGCTCTTGGCTGGATCCTTCTGGAGCTGAAGCTGCTGCTCTGCACAGGGACCCCCACACAGCCCTGCAGCTGCTGTCTCACCTGTGGAGGTGAATCATTCCTTCCCTCACCCTCCTGGCTGCATTTTTCCAGATGCAGCCTGGAATGCAGCAACAAACAGAACTGTGGCTGTTCCAGAACCAAACATTGATCAAGGCCAGGTTGGACAGGGCTTGGCATGGTCTAGTGGGAGGTGTCCCTGCCCATGGCAGGGGGATGGAATGAGATGGTCTTTGAAGAAAGATCCAACACAAACCTTTCCAGGATTCTGTGTTTCTAAAAATACACCGAACAGGAGCTGAGGCCCAGGATAGAGCTGGATGTTTGGAGAAATCCTCTCTGTGACCTTTCCCCTGCCTGATTTGCTCATCCTCATCTTCACATGGGCCACAGCCTCCTGTAAACGCTGTCTGGGAGCTGCTGGAGAAGCCCTGCTGAGGATTCATTGTCTGAGGTGTGATCACTGCCTGTCCTTGCACAGGCACAGGAGTGCCCATGACCAGGTGACCACACTGCAAGGACACAGCCTGTGACAGAAATCCCTGCCTGTCCAGCCCAGGGTGGCTGCGGGGCTGCAGGAGCCCTCAAAACTGAGAGCACTGCAGGCATCCATCCCAGAGAAAAGGGAGGTCTGGCATTTTCTGCAGACATCCATGGTGCCCCTAGAGGGGCTCGAAGTGAGACCATTTTACATCAGTGGCACTTTGTGATGCCCAGAACTCCCTTGAGATTGGTGCAAGGGCCACCATGGTGCCAGGGGGGCACAGTGAGTGTTGCACAAGGGGCAGCGTGGCAGTGGCAGGGCAGGGGTGTCAGGAGGCACTGGAGTGGAACTTTCTGAAGTCCAGGGCTCAGTTTCCCAGGAACACTGGAGTACCTCTTCCCTGAAGGGTCTGTGGGGTTCCCAGGGGCTGTTGAGCTCAATGTCAACTCTGAAGAGAGTGATTTACGCCTGATGTTTGATTTCCATCCAGGAGGTGAAAGTCACCTGGGTGTTTACCTACCAGTTGAGCTCTGTGGAGATGCCCCAAGAACGTCATTCCCTGGGGAAACACTGCACACTGAATTATGGTTATTTTAAGGCATTTGCTTATTGGCACCAAATTATTTGCTTTGCCTCTGGAGAAAGCTCTTCACCTGAGTGACTTCATTGTCTGAGGACTGATCACTTGATGGTGGAGAGCAAATAAGCCCTAAGCCACTGGTCCTGCTGCCAACCAGAGGACAAGTGCTGAGGTTTGGGTCTCATGCCTCCACCCCCTCACCTCTCAACCCTATAACTTTCAGGCTGGACACCCCTCCAGCCAGGCCAAAACCACCCAGCTTTGTGCTCCACAGGGTCCCCACAGAGACGGCATGGGTGAGTGTAGGGTGGGATGGAGGGGATGGGATGGGGTGGGATGGGATGGGATGGGATGGGATGGGATGGGATGGGATGGGATGGGGTGGG